GTGGTAAATGTGATAAACCATAGGGACTAAAAATAACGTTTTGCCAACAATTTTTATTTTCCTTCAACACTGGGCCCCAATGATTGGGTTGAACCCGTCAAAGCAAATCCGATTAATCCTAAAGCGGAGGTGAACTCGGTTGACCAAATGTCATTTGGCCATTAGCAGCGAGAGAGACTGAAACGAAAGAAACACAAAGATGAAAGACCCATCTCTTTTTTGCTCAGATTTTAGCATTCTCCGGCCTAAAAACCAAAAGTTTTGAAGAACCCAGTTTTGGAAGTGTTAGTTGATGAGAAACTGCAACTCAATGGATTGCTAGTTGATAACAAACATTACCTTTGGATTGATTGTGCATCTAAATACTTGTTTACAACAGGGAGTATAGGATTTTAATAGATATACTTCAATTTGGTTACTACTCCATTGTTATCTGTGATATTCATCTGTTTCTGCTCTTGGTACTAAATTCATTTGAGAATGTATCAAATGTCGTTTGCCTCCTTTGTGGATTATTATATTTTTTGTTGTTCTTTTTTCTATTTAAATGTTACAAATAAATCGAATGAAGGTACACATGCGGATCCATATTTGGGTTGGAGTGGGCTCTGGCCCAATGCTGATTTTACGAGCTCAATCTAGATAAATCAAATATTAGCCCATTTCTCTACGTAGAAATAAGCCCACCTCTCTGTAAATCAAATATACTCCCAATGGTTTGATTGACTTCGGAGCATGTGTGATGCAACTCTTGAGAGCCATCAACGAACCAGACTCAAGCATGGCTTTGACGGTTTCCTTGGCTTGTAGCTGTCAATTTTTCCTCACACACACACACACACACACACACACACTCTCTCTCTCTCTCTCTTCTTTCTCTTACTTCTTTCTCCTTTTTTTTTCTTCTCTCTTTCTTTCCTTCTTTATTCTCTCTGTTTCTCTTCTTTTTTTTTCCTGAGTTTCTATCTTTTTCTATGTTTATTTGTTTGTCTACGCATTATGGTGCTAACCACCATCGTTGGATCAACAGCTATAATAGATCTCCCCAAAAAAAAAAATTGATATAACCTGATAATTTCGTGAATCTCATGGACATTTTGTGATAAGGTGCAAAGTGTAATTACTCGAACCAAAATCAGCTAAATTTAACAGCTTGAAATAATTTTTCTAAATGAAATCCTAGCAGTTTTCTGTTTGGCACGACGACAAAATATGTTCTAGATAATGTAAACCCATTTGTCACTTTTGTGGTATAAAATGCAACTATTTCTAGAATGAAAATATCTATAGCTGGTTCACAATGGAAATGTTTCATATTTTCAAAAAATTTCTTTGCAATCGGAAAAGGACTTGCTGAATGATCAAACTTTTGGGATTACTTGTAGTGGATTTGATCACAATCTCCAGTGAATTGCCATAGCTTAGCAATTAAGTTCGTTCTCAGTGGCGAAGTACACACGAAGAATGTCTACATCTTCTCCATCTACAACACCTCAATTGAAATATGATGCCTTTCTCAGTTTTAGAGGTGATGACTCCAAAGGGCTTTACAAACCACTTATATGAAACATGAGAGCTTAAGGAATCATAACTTTTAGGGATGAACCTAAAATTTTGAAGGAAAAAGCCATTTCTCAAGAACTGAGTACTATGATTGAAGGATCAAGGTTTGTGCTCATTGTCCTCTCACAAAATTATGCATCCTCAACATGGTGCTTGGATGAACTTCTGCACATTCTTAAATTCATGGAAGCAAGCTAAGCAGTGCTAACAATTTTCTATATTATGTTGATCCATTTCATGTATGAAAACAAACGGGGTGTATTGAGAAAGCCTTTACAAAACTAGAAGAAAGATTTAGTTCATATGACAAAACGAAGGTGCACGAGTAGAGAGATGTGCTGGCGAAAGTGGCAGATTTCTCTGGGTGGAAGGCTAAGGACTGGTATACATTCACTTTTATTATGGCACAAATTAACCATGATATACAATATCATCCCTTGAATTTTAATTTGATCATCGGTATCATCAGTTGAAGTATCAACTTGTTTGGTAAACAAGGTTCACAAAACCTTGTCGCAGCAAGTAACGTGAAATATTTGAGAAAGCAGCATCAAAATTTTCTGCCACAAATGAGATGAGGAACACAGGTTGCATGGTCTCCCCGAAACGGTTGCGATTGGGGATGATAGTTCTTTGTCTTTGCTTGTTTCTTTCGGTGGTGGTTTTTTGTTGCTTGGACTGTTGGGGTTTCAGCTGTTCTGTTGGAAAGTAGATATCTCATGCAGAAAAAGATGAAGAAAAAAAAACTTGTAACTTCAGTAATTCACACTGAAACCTATAAAGTCAGACAAACTGACAGTTAGCTGCCAAAAAACAAAAAGCTTCAAAACCTATTGCGACCCCCCAAAAAAACAGAAATGGTAAATATAATCCTACTAGTGAGTAATCTTGTACGGTAAATCTAAAGTTAATCGTGAAGTAATTCATCTTGACTTCGTGTGTAAACTTGTTGACTTACAAGTAATAGGAATAAGCAAAAAAGAGAATATAACGAACAAATAATGAGGATCAGAGGAGTTACCCCTGTTTGTTGATCCGATTACTAGTTTTTGAGTATTAGATTATCAATTTTAAAGTAGGACTCACGTGTTAAATGATTCCTTATGTGTAAGTAGGTAAACACTAGTGAAGTCAGGAATGAAATTTTTTCCTTTTCTTCTTATTCCCAGTTACTAAAAGGATTTAGATTTCCTTGTAATACTAGGATTCTTATGTATCCAGTAAAATCTAGTATATATAGGGCACATTGTTTGATGAAATATCGACCTGTTCTATTGGCCCATCATCTTGGACGCTGTAGCGTAGCTTCTCATCTCTTATTCCATTCTTTTCAACTCCAAGACAAGACACATGATGGCTTCTTCTTCAAGAAAATATCCGAACGGGCTAACGATTACTGTCATTGTAATAATCTTTTCTCACATTCTTTCCTTCCGTTTGAGAAGCTAATTCAATGCCGGTAAGATATGGAGATCATCAGCGGTTAGAAATGCAGATGAAGATGGTCTTGGGTTCAAAGCCACCTGCCTGTGTTAAAAGGTGTGTGGGTTGCATACCTTGCACGCCCACTCAGGTTGTTTCTCCACCTGATAAGAATAATAATCTCAAGGCAACAAATACAAATAAGGGAGATGAGGGCTATTATCTCCTCTCATGGAAATGCAAATGTAGGAACAAGTTGTTCGAACCTTGATTATTTTGTTTTAGCTTAGCCTAATAATGATGGTTATGTTTTGTTTTTGTTTTTAATACAAGTAATATTGGGAGAAGAAAGGTTCAAACACCTTGGTTTAAAAGATATCTATTTGCTCTTGATAACTTGACCTACGAGCCCTTTGGTCCTATGTTTTGTTTTAGCATAACCTAGCTATGTTTTGTAATAGCTCGACTTAATAAAGTTTCTTACTAATATTAATTTACACTTTGGATGGATGGCTAATGCAACAGATATATCTGCGAGGGCTTTGTCTTGCATGAGAACGTATCCCCGGGGCCTAGCCCTCCATTCTTCACCTTCTTCGTGAAGTGAAGGTTACTATAAAGTCCCGTTGTTTTGGTTGGTTTGTACTTAATAAGTCTTTGACAAATAACGAGAAGAAGAAAAAAAGACAAATTATGCTACGGACTCTTTTTGTGCAACTAAGAAGTCTCTCGTATGTTATTGGGTTGGTTAGTAGAAAAGAATTCCCCAAAATATAGGCTAGGTGTGAATTTTTGACAAAGCAGCAAAACTAATTGTCATAGACTTAGACTGGACAAAACACGCGACATTGACATGAGATGTTGTTTTTTCATGATGTAACATAACATCTATCCATTCACATGTGACGTAATAAAAAATAAAAAGAAGTTCATCGGGTTGTGCTTCAAAAACAAAGATCAACTTGGAATGATATATGCTTTGGCCTAACAATTCATAACTTTACTGAATGTAGTATAAAAATGTGATAAGCATAGTATTATTCTTTAAATTTATAGATTTATAAAAGATAGGGGCCTATTTGGATCAAAATCTGCACGCCAGCCCATTTTTTTATCAAAAGGCTCATGGACAAAACGTTTTGGACTTTTTTATCTATGGGACTTAGAAATCAAAACCATGAAACTGAAAGAGCCCATACCCTTTTAAGCAAATTACAAATATAGCCATAGTCTAAAAAATAAAATACTATTTTTTGGGCAATTAAAAACTGATATACACAGTTTTGGATAAAAGCCCAACTTTTGAAAAATGCACGCCACTTGATCTTTTCCCAAAAAAGGCAAGTCAGCATATCTTTTTTTCAAGAGAGCCCCCATGTGACTTTCTAACTTTGGAAAAGTCAAAATTTTCAACTATCATAGAGGAGGTGATAGGGAGTTAATGAAGGCAGGTCTTACAGGAGGACTTCTCCTTTTTTTTTTGCAGCCAAGGAAAGAAGATGAAATCCCCTTTTCACATACAAAGAAGCTCTGGACCAAAGAAGGTTACCTTTCCAAGAGATAAGCAGACCACGTTTTCAAGAGATAAGTAGGGACCAAGGGAGTTGTTCACTAGGAAGAGCAAACTGACCATCATCACAGACTGTGTTCCTTTTTTTATTTTTATTTTTTTTTACAAAAAACAAACAGGGAACAAAAGAAAGTTGGTTTTCTTTCAGAAAAAAGCAAGGAAAAGACCTCCATGAAAGCTGATTGTTGATGGTTATTCTCTGCCAGAATAATAACTTCCCTTTTTGTGGCATATAAAAAGAAAAATCTTTTGCAAAATCTTGGTTAGGATGCACGAAGGGCATGCTGATGGTTAAATATTTGTACCATTTTTTTGGATCTGGTTAAGAAATGATCAATCACATAATGCATGGAAAAAGCTTGTTTCTTTTTCTTTTTGTTCAATTTTTTATATAAAAAAAAATAGTGTTATTCAAAATCAAGTAGCTGATGGAGTCTGTACAGGGTGATTTCTTAGTTCATTTCATGGATATTGCTCGAGATGAGCTTCGAAAAAGCTTGATGAGATTTCTGTGGAGAAGCTGCAGGTTTGGTCTTCACTCTTCATAGTCCCTTACAGGCAAATACTTCTCTATGTTTTCACAGTTCGAAATAACTGAGATGTTTAAGCTTTTGTTTTGCTAAATAGTCTCTTCTAGACCTTGCTTTGCGTACCACAGCAGCTGCAACAGATCCTTGCCATGAGGACTTAACATGTTGCGTGGTAAGCAACTCTCTCCTTTTTCTTGCATATGAAAAATTTCTGAATTGATTTTGCATCAATTAAATAGTTTCACAGTTTTTCTTCAGGAAACATCTTCTTTGCTTAAAAAACAAAAATCTGGTGACACTGACCGATGGTGAAAGGAGCAGGAATGTTCCTGATGATAATGATCTAGAGGAGCCAGTGAGCATAACAGGACTTGAGACATTTTCTTTGAATTATAAGGTTTGTTAGAAAAACAGTGATTTCCTCAGTACTGTTTTCATTTTCTTTGTTCAGACTACACGATTGACGTGTTTACCCAAAATAGCACCTGCACCCAAAAAATAAAAACACAAAATAGCATAATTTATACCGAAGACTTCATCATCCAAATCCTTCTCCCTCCTCCCTCCCCTGTTCTGTATTTGTAGGGATTCAATTAGACTCTTTCTCTCAACTACTGCAGTAAAAAGATAGTATAAATTACTTAACAAGATGCATATTTGGAGAATGTTCTTGGTTTGAATTTTCTTAAATGGATCTAGCTCGTGAGAATTTTCATATGATGCCATTTCGATCTCATCCTGCATCATGATCAAACCATCTTTCTTTGATTTGCTGACTATTTGGTTCTTTTTCAGATTCGGTGGCCATTGTCTATTCTTATCTCTAAACATTCCTTAACAATGTACCAGTTGATTTTCCGCTTTCTTTTCCACTGTAAGCACGTGGATCGCCAACTTTGTGGGGCATGGCAAGCACATCAAGTATGGGCTTGACTTGTTTCTGTTTTGTTTTTTCATCTAGCCAGGCCAGATAGCCTCATTTCCCTGTTTAATTAAATGGGAATATATATTTGCAGGGAGTTTGTGCCCTCAACATGCGTGGAACTGCTATCTCCAGATCATCTCTGCTCTGTCGTAGCATGCTGCTCTGTCGTAGCATGCTGAAATTTATTAATAGCCTTCTCTACACTATCTAACATTTGAGGCAGGTTTTACCTTACCAAATTTCTTTTTCACCTGATGCTTTTGCCATGCTATAGTTGTAGTTTGTGATGTGCTTGCTTTTTCCTATATTTAAGTACTTTTTTCTCCTTTAGTTCTTTTTTCTTTTCTCCCTTGGTTTTGGTTTTTATTGGTTTACTTCCTTTCTCTTTATTTGGCCGTTGTCGATACAACAGAGCATGGTACATTCCATCGGACACTTCCAAATACTGAAATTTTTCTGGGAATGGTTGAATCTTATGCTGGGAATGCTTGCATTTGACACCTAAACACCCTTGTGTGGTGCAGGCTTAGATATGCATTGTGTACTATTTTTATTTTTATTTTTTGATGTATGATCCTTGTTGCATACCTCCCATTGCAAATCACTCTATGTAATGTTAGCTTGTACTTGAGAAATAATGTACATCTACAAAGTTATGTCCGACCTTTCAAGGTTCTTTAGAGATAACTGGCTAGGTCTGACGGGGCTGGGGTTCATTCTGTCCTGTTGACCACAAGGGAAACATAATAAAATACTGTCCGACCTTAAGAAATCCAATTCGAGTTCTACATTCCTGAAATATATTTTCCTAGCAATCTTGAAAAAATAACTGGCCTTATGTTTATTGACAACAGAACTTGTTTACAGGTTATTGAGCCTAATTGGCAAGTGATGCATAATAGACTTCAAACTGCAAAGAGCATAGATGAGGTATGGTCTTCCTCTTATAGAAATTCTCGTCTTCATTTGAAACAAAGAAAAAAGAAATGTTTGGCTGAAAAGAAGAATGCCACTTGTTGGACATTCTGATAGAGGCAGCAGTATTTATTTTATGTAGAAGTACCTCATGTTTGACTTTCAAGGCTCTTCGTGATACAGGTTATCCAACACCATGAATTTTTCCTTGACAAGTGTTTGAGGGGATGCTTGCTTCTTTTGCCTGAATTTCTCAAGGTTTGTTCTTACTACATCCAAGCATACATACATAACTAGACATAAAGGGATATATAGTAGAAGAGGTAACTAGAAATAGAGGGATGTAATAAATATAGAAGAGGTTGGAGAGAAGATCTCTTCCATTTGAAAGAGAGAAAAACTTTAATAAGGGAAAATGGAAGGATGTGCAACATACTAGGTATGCTTGAGGCCAGGGAGATATGCTAGTGTAGAATGTTTCTGTGAGGATGATGACAGCCTCCATGTTTGATGTAGGCCCTAGTAAGATATTAGAAAAATTCAGGTATCACTCAGCCTTCAGCATTATAGATCTTGGACTCGCTCCAAATCAAATCACGTCTCTCACACAAGCATGAGAACTTAAATTCTTTCAGTATTAACTTTCACATTCTTCAATAAATTTCCTTTCAATTAATACACTTTAACATGCTAGTAAAGACGCTCGTCATGAGACCTATAAATTGATTATGCAACATAGAGAATAACAATGAACTTAATATACGTCTAAGTTGCATTTATTATGGAACAGTGGATCAGGACATGTTGAAATGGGATCATATCTCTTTGGGATCATATGTTCAGAACATAAGTTCTGGAGTTCTTGGGTAGACTTTGTGATTTTCCTCAATAGTGAGTTCTCTGAATGCAGAAGGTGGAGAGGCTGAAATCACTTTGTCTACAATATGCAGCTGCAACTCAGTGGTTGATATCATCTTCTATTGATGTTCCCAGCCTTGTCGAGTCTGATGGTTCACTTGTGTCAGAAAAACCCAGGCAATCGAAATCACGGCGTCCATATCAGCCATTAAAATTAAGCTCCAGCAATAAAACTGTTGCTGATTCTATTCTGTAAGTTTGAAATGGCTATGGAGTACGTACATAATTACACACACAAATACACCTCTATCTCGCTCTCTCTCTATCTGACTCATTTATATTACAGCAAATTCGAGAGGGAGTTCAATGCAGAGCTTCAGAGCCTGGGACCAATATTGAACAGTAGCTCCAAAGCAGAACCATATATGACTCATCTTTCGAAGTGCATCTTAGGCATTGGAAACGAACAATGAATTCTGGCTTCTTTTCTGTTACTTTGGTTTCAAGAGGTCACGGTTTGTGAAAATGTTTTCCTGCTGTTGTGCTAGGCTTGTGGTTCGTAGCATGCCAAGAATGTCTAAAGTTTAGGTACTTGTTAGAGAATTTTGAGTTGGTGCTGTGTACTGGGGAAATTCTGTTTTTTTTTTGTTTTTTGTTCTATTGATTTTTGTTTTGGGGGTGGACGGTGGGTGTTTAGATTCGTTGTTAATTTCTGGCAAAGATTAACCATGATATACAATGTAATCCCCTGAATTTTAATTTCATTATCTGTATCATCAGTTGAAGTGTCAACTTGTTTGGTAAACAAGGGTCACAGAAACTTGTCGCAACAAGTGAAGAACAATTCAGTGAATATTAAAGAATAGAACCATTACAAACGCGAAATATTTGGGAAAGCAGCAACAAAATTTGCTGCCGCGAATGGGATGAGGAACACAAGTGGCATGGCTTTAAAGTCCAATTCTCTCTCTCCCATATGTTGGACCCACCTCTGTTCTCAGCTCATGTGAGAGAGAGTTGGAAGCGTTGGGGGAAGTAGTTGTGTTGTATTTCTTGATGGGTTGAGGTTGGCTAAGGCCCGTGGCTTAAGGAATATCATTGTTGAAGTGGATTCGAAGGCATGCTTATCGACTGTTAAGGACTTGTCATGCTCGAAGTGGTCTTTATTTCCTATCCACTGTGAAATCAGAGTTCTAAAGACTTCTTTCTCCTACCTCCGATGGTCATGGGTCCTTAGGGAAGCAAACCAAGCTGCAGATTGGGTAGCTTCGAGTGTTAAAAGGAGGGGGGTTGTGCGCTGAGGCTTGGGTCATTCAACCTCCAACCTCCCTGATTTTCATTCTATCCCGAGGCGGTTTGCCTTGTCCTCCCCGGAATTGTTGCGATTATGGGGATGGTAGTTCTTGGTCTTAGTTTGTTTCTTTCGGTGGTTGTTTTTTGTTTCTTAGACTGTTGGGGTCTTAGCTGTTCTGTTGGAAAAGTCAAAATTCATGCAGAAAAAGATGAAGAAAAAAAAAAAAAACTTGTAACTTCAGTAATTCAAACCGAAAGAAACCTATAAAGTCAGACACTGACAGTTAGCTGCCAAAAAACAAAAAGCTTCGAAACCTATTGCGACCCCCAAAAAAAACCGGGATGGTAAACATAATCCTACTAGTGAGTAATCTTGTACGGTAAATCTAAAGTTAATCGGGAAAGTAATTCATCTTGATAGGAATAAACAAAAAAGAGAACATGACAAACAAATAATGAGGATCAGAGGAGCTACCCCACTTGTTGATCCGATTTGTATTAGATTATAAATTTTGAAGTAGGATTCATGTATTAAATGATTCTTATGTGTAAGTAGGTAAACACTGGTGAAGTCAAGAATGAAATTTGTTCCTTTTCTTCTTATTTCCCAGTTATTAAAGGGATTTAGATTTCCTTGAAATTCTAGGAATCTAGTATATATAGGGCACATTGTGTGACGAAATATCAACCTGTTCTATTGCCCCATCATATTGGACGCCATAGCGTAGCTTCTCATCTCTTGTTCCGTTCTTTTCAACTCCAAGACAAGACACATGATGGCTTCTTCCTCAAGAAAATATCCGAACGGGCTAACGATTGCTATCATTGTGATCATCTTTTCTCTCACACTCTTTTCTTCCGTTTCAGAAGCTAATTCAATGGCAGTAAGAGATGGAGATCATCAGCGGTTAGAAAAGCAGATGAAGATGGTCATGGGTTCAAAGCCTCCTGGGTGTGTTAACAGGTGCGTGGGTTGCATACCTTGCACGCCCACTCAGGTTGTTTCTCCACCTGATAAGAATAATAATCTCAAGGCAACAAATACAAATCAGGGAGATGAGGGCTATTATCTCCTCTCATGGAAATGCAAATGTAGGAACAAGTTGTTCGAACCTTGAATATTTTGTTTTAGCTTAGTCTAACACTGATGGTTATGTTTTGTATTGTTTTTTTTTTTTTTTTTTATACAAGTAATATTAGGAAAAGAGAGATCCGAAGTAATTCAAGGACAATTTTGTCCCTGTGGTTTCAATTTGAAGTAATTCAAGGACAATACTCAATTTCTATCAATTTTTTAACTTTGTTACTTATGGAGGGGCAATTCAGTCCACAAATTATTACAAATTTCATTCCTTTTAAAATTAAACAATACAAATATAAATTTGTATAAAAATAGTTTTGAAATAAAAATGAAACCTCTCCCTTCCCTTCTCCTCTCAAACCTACACAAACCAACAGTCTGCACCCAACCCCAGCCAGCCACCGCCTCCATATAACCCAACCACCACCACTGCAGCTACCCAAGCCCGCCCCATCCCCAACCAACCAAATTGCCCTGAACAACCAAACTTTTTGGGTCTAGTCATATTTCTCTAACCAAAAGCATAGGCTACGGGAGTTGGAAGAGCCAAAGTTCCTTGGGTCTATGACATCCCTTTCATCAAAATCATAGGTTGGGGGTGAGATCTTGCTTGGTGTTTGAGTAGCTTACAAACAAAATAAAAAATAAAATAACCAGATCTTTGGAATTGGGTTACATGTCAGGTGGTTTTGTCATGGGGAGAGGTCAGGTCGGCGGTGGGGGAGGGGTTAATCTGGTTTGTTGAGAAGTGGCTGGATCCAAGTTGGGAGAGGGGTTAATCTGGTTTGCTGTGAAGTCTAGGTTTGTTCGCCGACGGCAATGGTTTGGTGTGAAGTCAAGTTGTTGAGTTTGGTTTGGTTCTTAAGCGATTTGGTTGTTTGGGGATGGGGCGGGCTTGGGTGGCTCGATTGGTGGTTGGGTTCCAGGGAGGTAAAACAAGGCAGAATTAAGAAAATTTTCAACGGTTGGGCTAGTTAAAGTTATTAGCTAAAAATCTATGATCTTTTTTTTCATGTATACTTACAATTTCTATAGTCCTTTTAGAAATAAAAGTAAATTAAATCATATAAATCAAGCTTGTTCATAACTCCATAGAATAATTTTCAATAAATTTTAACATAAACCAAATAGGGTTTAACACCATAGTGGATTGAACATCTAAGGCTTTTTATCTAGATTGACCTTAGATTCCTTCATGCATTCATATTATACATGAAAAGTTGTTTTATGTAAAAATATTGACTAAGTATGAAAAATGGGTTTTCGGAGTAATCATTTTCTCAAGATAATTTTTAACGGCTTTTATTCCTCACACATCGAATAAAAAAACTTGATTTTATGGGATTTTAGTATGAAGTATATATTAAGTTAATGAGCCATCATTTTTAGTCTAAATCGTATTTTGCACTAAAACTAATTTTTCGTATTTTGATTTGGTGGGAATTTAATTTTCTAGTATTTTTATTTGAATCCAAATGGAGGGTACTATAAAAATGAAGTAATATAAAAATAAATAAAAGTACAATGACAATGACATTTAATGTTGAAAATAAGTCAAATATATAGGGTTTATATTTTTATTCTTAAAAAACCACACTATGCTATAGCCCACTGTAGCCCTTATTGTGGTTCCGCCCTTGTTGGCAAAAGTGGCAGATTTCTCTAGGTGAAATGCTAAGGACTGGTATACATTAAACTTCTATTATTTTCCCCTGGAAAGTTCATAATTTTTTAGGGTTCGTTTTATATATAGAATGTGGATGATGTTATATATGCATGAGTAGTTAATCTCTTATGAACCCTTAATAAAAATATAATTTATAGGGTAACTAAAAATCCCTATGATTCATCTATGCATATAAATTAAGATTATGAAATTAAAACATGGTCACGATTAATTCTGTACGAAAAGAAAAGTTTAGGATTAATTAAATCCGAGGCAATCGTTTAACGTCCTTCAGATGCACAAGCACACAAAATTTAATTAGACAAATGGCTGAGATTAATTAACTTTATTCAAAGATCAAGATTAAATTAATTAGTTTAAGTCAGATCCTATATTCTGAAAACTAGAGAAAACATATCTAAACTTTGATTCTTTATGTCCACACAATTAAAATGATTGATACAGTTTCTAATATGTTGTAGGTTCCAAACCATGCTCATCAAAGATATTATTTATGTGATATGGAAAAGATTACATCCTTCATCGTTTAGTTCCGTGAAGAACTCAGTTGGATTAGACTCCAGTGTAAAATCTCAATCGATTTATAGTAAAGGGTTTCCTCCATAAATCCCCCTTAAAAGAGGTCAAGGATTTCTCCATAACCCCAAATTCCATAATTTCATTGCTTTCTTAGTCTTCCCCTCTTGTCCATATTTGTAAGCAATGCATCCAATTCTTTTTCACTTTGTCCTACACTTTTCGTTGCCTTGGCATAGAGGCTTGTTTTTTGGGCTTTTGGGGATGAGATGCTTCTATATATATAACAAGCAAACTTCGTATGTAATTAAGCTTTGGATCAGATGCTTCTAGGAAATTCCGTTTGCTTGGAATTACCTTCTCTTGAAGCAATGCCTGGTTCGTTGTCTTTCCCTTGTCTATTTATAGCGTACGAAAACTCATAGTGGTTTTTCCATTTGAGTTCTCTGCTTATGCATTGCTTTCATATTTCTCATAATTCAGTCGTTTGTATTGCCTTCTCCTTGATTGCCTCATCCTCGTGATTTTTCATTCAACGTTACGTTTCTCATAACAGTTGGTGGAGAGAAACTACACTTATGCAAGGATATTAGAGGTAAGTACATCTTGGAAACTTTCTGTCTTAAATTTGCACTATATGGTTGTTGGTTTTACTCTGATCCGTTGAAAAACACACACACACACACAATTAGATAATTTGATATATGTATATAAATGCAAATAGTATATCGATCTCGTGAGATATATATTTTTCATTGTCTTCTTCGTACCTTAGAATTTCATGTGAAAAAACTGACATAAGGTGTTGTATTAGGAATGACAAAATGTTCAGTTTTTCAACAATACCCTTGAATTTAGTAAAAATTATTAATACTTTAAACAAATGTTTTCTCCTAAAATACCTGGAAGAAAAAAAATAGATTCAATCCAAAAGAAACCTTAGCAGCAAAACTCCGTTAACCAAAAAACAAACATTGACCAATGTCATGAACATTGAATTGCCTTACTCTTGTATATGTGCAATTCATATGAAGCAATCGACAAGTCAAAAGAGCAGCCCCAACCTCTTGTATATGTGCAATTCATATACAGCCAGGCTGCCAGCAACAAAGCCAAAAGAGCCCACAAAGAAAGCACACCCATGAAAACAAAACCACAAAAGAAAAAGATTACAATCATATATAAAAAAGTTGCAACTTCCTG